TGAGCCAGGAGTTTGCCAACAACAGTGAAATGCGATCCGTCTGACACATCAAACCGGGGAGTGTGTTCAATAGCACCTAAGGTCTGGGCTCGCCTTTTGGCAGGCTCCTTTTGGCTTCAGGACCCGCCTCTCTACAGTTCGACCCTCGCTCGGAAAAGCATCGCCCTGGCCTCGATGGTCCGCACGAGCCGCTTCCCCTGGCGAACAGTTTTGCAACGTAAACAAACGAAAACAAGGGCTCCATGTACCCTCGCGCACTGATCTCCTGCTACAGAACCTTTAAGCCGTGCACATGGCCCTGCCCAAAGGTGCAAACTGTTTGTGCAACATGCGCATGCCTCAAAGTATGGGCACCCCCACCTGGAAAAAAATGATGGGTGGTTTTGCTTTGGTTGCCAAAACAACTCAAACAAGTGTGCCTTCAAAAAGACATACCCATGTACCAGGCGAGTAGCCTACGGTCGAACATGAAAGTGTCACTTTTCTTTTCAAGGGAAACCCTCGCCAGAAAAGTAAAAAAGGGCACTGGAGAACAGGGTGTCCAAGATAAGAGCCATGAGCCAGGTATGGGAACCTGTTTATGACACCGTTTGGTTTGCAGCCTCTAAGGGGGCGGGGCGAAAAGGGTAATTCTCGGCGACCTTCATTCTTGGCGGCCTGTGCAAATCACTGTGCACCCGCTCAGCACTGTATCCATGCCAGGCAGATGGTAAGAGCCCAGGCAAATGGTGTCCCTGGCTTTGTCTTGTTTTGATCAACGTTAAAATGCGCAACAAAGAGCCCTTTTATTCGTCATGTTTGTTGACCTCTAACAAAGGAAAACGCAGGTTTTGAGATTCGCGGTTTACCAATTAACTGAGAATAACCACAGGACGCGTCCACCGCACCTAGTTCTCAGGGCTGCGGCAGTTGGGACGCAAAGGACAATGCGCAGTGGTTGCGCCTTGATGCTGGACGCATTGCGATCCACACCGTCACAAGCTCCATTGACAGAATTGGGCATGTGTTTGTTTTGAATACCCTTGTTGGGCTGTTTTAAAGGGAAACAAATGGGGAATGCATTTGGGCATGTTTTCGTTTTACCCCTTTTGTGGGCTGTTTTTTCCAAGGGAAACAATGGAAATCCCATCATTTTGGGGGGTGCCCTAGTTCAAGACACACTCATATTGACACGTGGTCAGATTCCAAGCCCATTCCCAGCCCAGAATTGGATCTCCTCTCAGCGCTAAGCATCTAACTATATATATATATATAATAATTGGTGCGTGTGTATATATATATATACATACATATGTATAGAACTGTATGCACGTGCTATGTGTTTCCAAGGGGCTGCAGGGTGCTGAAAAGTGTGTTGAAGCACTCTTGAAGCAACCTTTGAGTAAAAAGGCTTGTCTTCTTACCATATTGCCTTCTCAGACTTTTGCTGGTAAGGACAAATTATGGAACAGCGTGGCAAAAGGGTCAAAAAGGGAAGCCTTTGGTCTGGGCATTTCCATGCCGAGTCCTTACAAAACTCTCCTTAGCTCTGCCTTGCAACACAAAGTTAGAGACCGCCAGTTTCTTGGCTTCCAACCAACCAACCAACCAACCAACCAACCAACCAACCAACCGACTGACCGACCAACCAACCAACCAACCGTTGGAAGCCCATGTTCGTTGGACCCCCCCCTAAACTGACAAGGCGTGTGAGGAATGGAAAAGGGCAGCGGTGTTCTTACACGTGTGTTTGTGTTTTCACGTTATGCCTGCTCGCGTGGCAGCCATACCCTTTCCGGGCTGTCCTCAGATCCCCCGCTAAAAGTTCGACTTTGGGGGGGTTAAAACTGAAATCCCCACTAAACACCAAAAAGCTAAGGAACCGGATGGCTGGGAACCACCAAGGTGTGTCGGAAATGGGTCCCCCCACCCCCGGAAACCCCCCGCCTGCAGCAACTTTCGCAGCTCCGGCAGGCGCTGCGCCGCCGTGGTGGCCAGCCGCGCCTCAAGCTTCCGCTGCAGCCGTCCCAAAGAGGGGCGCGGGGGCGCTTTGGGACCGGGAGGGGGGTGGCTGCAAATGGGAAAACCCGCCAATAGGAAAACCCTCAAAAGGCGCCAGCAATCTTCGAATGGGCTGGATGGGAGTGGCTGATTTTTGTGTTTGGGACTCCTTGGGCATCAAAATTCGGTGGCGATCCATGTCCAACCATCTTTGGAGGGGGTTCCATATTAAAATTCATAGCCAAATGGGACGCCAAATGGCCTCAAATCCAATCTCACAAGGCTACAGCAATAATCGAAATTTGCCCCGAATACCGCCTTTTCTCCTGTTGCTTACTGTTTAAAGCCCACCAAAGGTACGCTCAAGAAAAGAACGAAATGTCAAAGGGGCCCGCCTCAAAAGTTGTGGACAGGAATTCCCCGAATGTCCAAAGAGCGCCCCCCGGGAAAATTCACAACCAAATGGGATTCGGACCCCTTTTGGGTTGCCCTGATGAGTACGCTATGTTGAATTCAATTCGTCCATTGGTATAGGGACAAGGAACCGAGCCCAATCCATTCGATGGACTCCTTTCTCGCATGGGCCTTGTCGCAAAAGTCGCTGGATTTCTCCTTCAGATGTTGCACTTGGGCCAAACTGCCCATGTTGATGGTCCAAAGAAGAAATTTGAGGTGCCCCTGCAGCAACTTGAAGGAAGCAACGAAGTAGAGGGAGCACTTCAGCGGACTTGCACGTCGCCATTGAAACCAGATTGATCGATGTCCTACAGCAGTCAGCCTCCCTGAAACCGCCACTGGCAGCACATGTTCCATGTTGAATCTAGCAGGAAGGAAAAACACACAATGGTGAAAGTGGCATGCAGAAGCCTCTGCACTCCAAGTGTCAAGATACATAAGCATCTTCCCCATTGTCAACTTGTCCTCCTCCTCATCCTATTCTCAGCATCATCCTCTCATAATCATCATCATTATCATCATTATCATCATCATCATCATCATCATCATCATCATCATCATCATCATCATCATCATCATCATCATCATCATCATCATCAGCGAATCTCCGAGTTGAACAGCCCATTCACAGCATGCACGTCTGGCTCGCCTGCACGGCTGCGAGAGGCCGCAAGGCGGCCTGACTGGAGAGCTGGCGAGGCAGGGCCCAAAGTCGAGACTTGGCTGGTCAAAAATAGGGCAACCCCAAAACGGGACCCTGGTAAGTGGAACCATGGACCAAAACCTGCGGTCCACACCCTGGTGGTTTAATTTTGATCCATGCCCACTTGTGGTTTGGACCTGGCCTGCCATGTCTCGCTTGCAAGGTCTGTGAAATCTGGTGCACGGGCAAACGCTAGATATCAAGCCAAATCGATGCGGGTTGGCTGGCCGTCGCCCGGTGGCAACGAATGAACGCACATCAAGTTGGGGAGCACTGGGCGTCCCTTCCCCCTTGGCTTGCATGAAAGTGCAGACACTCCCTCTTTCAAGACTGCTTATGCATCATACTGTGGATGGACGAAATCCTGCACCAGCTGAGAAGCCCTGGAATGATGATTCCCCTGTCAATACCAACAAATAAGGGTTTCTCATGGTTTCAAAGTGGTGCGAACGGATTTCGTCCATCCAGAGTATCACCTTTTTCTCTCGGAAGACACCGAACTCATCCATCTGGGGCGCTGGCTGTGAGGGCCCTGCCTGTCCGGACCAAAAGACAACTGTTGCCAAGCAAATGGGCTGGCGTTGCAGGAGCTAAATGTCACCCACATCACAAGTACAAGCCCCGGTTTTGGGCAACCTGCCTGGAGTTTCATTAAAAGACAAGCATGCTGTGAAGACATAGCTGCCAGCGACAACGCGTGATACAGCACACCGCGAGGCCTCGCAATGCGGCCATGAGCGCAAAGGACGCAGTGAAGGGATCGAAGTAAACAATAGATCAAAACTTGTTCGATGGCCTTTCTGTGCTGAAACACATTGACCTAGCATACTAACTAGCTCTTCAACTATGTCGCCTCTGCCAGGATCTGATTCAAACTGTCAACTCTGCAACGTCTGCCTTGGCTTCAAAGTCTCACATACGAGAAACATCAGTTGGTCTATGAACAAGGCTGCCTTAGAGCATTGGTTCTTTGAATCCAGTCCATAGAATGAGTCCATGTTCGAGCCTGATGGCTGCAAGGCCTTCGAGTCGCACAGTAATGACGCGTGGCATCATTTTTCGTGACAGTGTGAGTCCAAAATTACTTGTGTTCTTGCTCCCCTAAGACAACATAAGGCTTAAACTCAGTGAGTCCCCCCCCCCCCCCATGTCCCTCGACCACTGGCATGTAGCCAAAGCAAAGGAGGGGCGTTCGCACAGGTGTGAGCCGCACATCCTAACCTCTAACATGTTGCTTCTTGTCGGCTGCGCAATGTTTGCAATTCCCGCATGAAGGCTCACGTGAGTGGGTAGGTAGTTTATGAGGGCGGTTGCTAAAATCCCTGGCAATAAACATCAGTGACCCTGGATCACTGACTCGAAAAAGGCATGGCCTTCCAAGCATTCTCCCCGATGACAGCTTTAGTGAAAATATTCCTCTCACAGGGACCCTTGGTGGGAAGGCAAGTACTTCCATTCTAGCAACTGCGCACTGCCTCTTCACCGCATCTATTAGAGCCTGCTGCATAGCCACCACAGCCTACTTGTTTTCGCTTCCTCCCAATGGGAGCTCATTCAATGTAAGGATGAGTTTGACTCCTGGTATGGATCCATCTGCACTGCTGGTTCACCCATATAGAACGAATGAACTTCCAAATTCAGCCCCTCCAGTTACACAGAGAGGGACGATTTGTTTGCCTCAAACATGTCTGAAACCTGGGGTAGCACCACAAATGTCCTTCTGTAGCATTTAATTATTGAAAAGGAAGAGGAACAAAAAAGAAGAAGAAGAAAAAAGAGAAACGGACACCCGATTTGTTTTTCCCGGCCGGTTTCTGCTTGGATTCCAACTCCGCCACGAAGACAGCTCTCCGGGCGTCTCCTGGTCGTCGCTGCGGTGCACCAGGCGATCCACGACCTCCTCCGGCGGCGGCCTCCGGCTTCGGGCGGAGGATCTCGGGGCACTCGAAGTGAACATGGGGGTTATAATCAGTGGGGTCTAGATCAGAGGGCTTGGGGTAGACCAAAATGCGAAGGATGCGAAAAGAAGATTAGTGTACACACCGGTACATCTCCTTGGGCTATAGGGATTTCATTCTGTTAATGTATTGTTGGATTTTATATGTATCTGTCCACCATTGAATTGGCTATGAGTGGTTCGTACATGTTGGGATTCTTGCTTGTCCCCACATTGAATTTATGGACACTTCAAGTGAGGTCACCAGTTTTGGGGTGGAAGTTCGCTTCCGCATGAACTTTTCGAACTCTGCCCCACAAAGCATTTCCCTATTCCCTATTCCGCCCCACCCCGCTTTTCGCAAGTTTGCGGGTTTTTGCTTCTTCTTCTTTTTGCGGGGAAGCGCGAACTGGCCGAATCATTCCGCCTGAACTTCAGATGGTAGATCTCCCCCGTCTCCGGGTCCAGACCTGGGCGATTGACATCTTTTGGGGAAGTTTTGAGGGAAGCAACGGGTAGCCGGGCTCGATATTCTGACTCAGAGGGTGGATATCGAACAATCATGTGTTTAAATTGATACAATGCCTTTTGTCTTGGATATTGGCTTGGATCATTAACACGATTAAAAGGCTTGAACCGAAGAAAACATGAAAATACATCGCGAGAGAAAGTGAAATGCAAATCCAGCAATCTTGTGGGCCTAGCGCTTGAGTCCCTCGCCAGCTTTTGGAATACCCTTGCGGAAAACGTCATCATGGCTCCCATAACTGTATGTTTTCTCAACATGTGGCAATCCCCAAATTGGGAACGTTTTGAATCGGCTTCCCTTGAGCTTTGTGCTTTTCTGTGGGTCATTGCTCATACTTGGCGTCCCTTGCTTTCAATCCGGCCCTCCCAACTCCATTTTGCCACTGAACAGGCTGCGCACCCCGCTACCCCTTTTCAACATTGTTGGCATTCACAAACGGTGGTGCAGGATTTCGGCGCAACCAAGGGCCCTCAGAATCCAATGTTAAATTTGGGAGCGAGAGGGTTTTCGCAAAACATGGCGAAAGCGGTGCAGGATTTCGTCCGTCAACAGTATCATGCACACAAGGGTCTGTCTCAAAATCGGGGCCCCTAAGAATTTCCCATTGGTTTCCCTTCAAAAACACCAAAAAAAGACCCTCAAAAAAAGATAGATAGACCCGTAGGAAATGTCATTTCCCTTCCGTCACGTGCTTCCTCACCCAACCCAAGAGGTCCAAAAGGCGGCGCCCGCAGCCGCGCTCCACCAAGGTGTCATCGGGCACCTGGTTTTGTGTTTTTTTGGTGGCAATACCCAAGCTTGTTTTCATGCCATAGCTCCGTTCTTTCCAGGCCTTCTGCTCAGAAGATGGTCAGACACACACTTGAGTGGTTTCCCAACTGGCCCGAAAAAGCCCCCAAACTTGTTCCTTTCAAAAATGAGCTTCCCCACAAGAGACCAAAGTCCAAGAACTCACGGAGTGAGCCACAGGCTCACACAAACAAGCGGGGCAAGGTGGCAGTGATTGTGTTTGAACAACAACAGCAGCAAACACCTAAAACTAAAACACATGCCAACAGCAAGGAGGCTGTCTATCAAAGATTTCCCACTGGCCTGAAGGTAGCCGCAAACCATTTGGGCTCATACTAGCTGCAACCTCGAGTGAAGCCACCAACCGGTCTCATTATGTGTTTTGTGTCACGGTGCCCAACACCCCAAAAGCATCAAACAAATGCGGTGTTCCGAGCTCTGCATCATTTGAAACATGCAGGTGTGTTTTATTCGCCAAGGTGTGTCGCTCAGCTGCTTGAACTATACATCATATGTGCTCGTCAGGCTCGAAGCGTAAGAAGCAACATGGCACAAGGTCGGAATGCAAATATTGCAAGTAAGGCATGAAAGTACAAGCTTGCGAATGTAACGCAAGCCGGAAAATCCAAGGCATGTTTGCACTGCGCCTCTTGAAGACTTCAACCGCGGCTCGCGTGGTGACAGGGTAGCAACCAGAACGTGCCAAGGTCCCTCTTGGTTTCCCTGACCAACCCAGTCCCCTTGGCCTCAAAAAACAAATGGGTGTGGGTCAAAAATAAACCACCAGGATATGGACCGCAGGTTGCAGTCCATGAACCCATTTACTAGGGCAAGCCATTTTGGGGTTACCATATTTTTGACACCCACCGAATGTGCGAAAGGACCTTCGCGCGCCTTGATCACCAGAAACTTCTGGATCTCCAAGCCCGCATCAACCATGGCTTGGGCCTAGCGGAAGGCCAGGTCTGGACTGAAGTTGCGGACGTCGATGGGGAGTCGCTTGATCCTAAACCTCTACGCTTCCAACGTGCCGAAACCGGATGCGAACAGCACCTCGGCCTTTGCAAGCAGGCCTTCCGACTAGAAATCCTAGCCATGGGGTTCAGGTCCTTGGCTCTGCTCAAGACTTGAGTCCCTTGGCCCGTGGGCTTGGCAATGCGGAACGCGCCTGGTCCGGTGCCCGTGGGAAGCCGTCCAAGAGGCACCCCTTCTCCTTGACATCGTCCTTCATCAGCCGGTCCTGCAAGCAAACCAGCGCTCACCTCCGCCATTAGCCAAACAACAACCAAAACAAAACAAACAAACAAGAAGACATTGCGCACAGAATCGAGCCCTTTTTGTTCGCTGCCTCCCAAATTCTTGGCCACGAAGACCTAACCCACAGGAATTCAGCTCAATCCACCCGCGAATTCGAAAAGCCAAGGTGAGTCATAATCCAAACCCAGTATGAAAATGGTCTACCCAAAACCATGCCTCAAGAATTCAGAAGCCGGATATCCGCGGCTATTTATGGCAAGGAGATTGTCCCTTACTAACCTTCACCAATGCCCGGTTTTGGGCACGTCGCTCGTGTGTCCTTGTCTTGCTGCGATAGGTGAATGAGAAACGGAATGAACCTAGGGATTGCCTTAAAGGAAACCACCCATAGCTCGATCCTTCACCAAGTCCACAATCAGCTCGCTGGGCACCAGCCTCCAGCGGCTGGGGCGGCGATTGGCGATCGCTGGGGTGGGTCGACCACAAGTCGCATCTTCCAGGCTGAAAACTCCGTCTCTGAGTGGTTGGGCCATGTGGGTGGATGTCTGTGTCTTTTTTCTTGATGGAAACAGTTTGTAGTCCAATATCAGGGGTCAAACTCATTGAATTTGGATGATTGGTCTTTTTTGGGTCCGACGTGTAGGCGCGCACTGGCTCAAACGCGTCCAGACACAGGCGCTCCAAACAAACTTGCCCAATACTTGGCAAAAGCTCCCCACTTCTCCACACTCCAACTACCTGGCAGTGTCACTGCACACAAAAAAAGAAAAACGGATGCCGAAAAAGCTGCCCCACTTGCCCTACATGTGTTGGACCTTTGAGAGGACGTCAGGAGCTTCCATGGCAGGCGAAGTGCTCCGGGCTCCCCAGCCCGCCGGAGTCCATGTAGCTCTTGGCCTGCGCAGAGGGCATGGTCCAAGCCCCGAAGGGGTTCGGGAAACCCAAAACGGGAGGATTGGTAAACCCAAAGAGGGGTTGGTAAACCCAAAGAGGGGGGATGGTAAACCCCGAAACATGGGTAAACCCTATAAAGCCTATCGCTTGAACTTTTTTCTCGGGCTGGTGAGGATACTTGACGCCTGTCTCCATGGCCGCGTGTCACTGTGTAGGCCGGCACCACTCCCAACAGAAAGCATGTGCAGCCGAAGGGGTGGATTGACACAGTCCACCAAAAAACGGAAGCTGCAAAGAAACGGGGCAAACTCGGCCTCTGTGCGAAAGCTGTGTCCAAATTTGGTCGTTTTTGGACAACACAAACGCATGGGCATATCCGAGCATGTGGAAAGCCCTTTTGAGTTGCTTTGCAACCACACCAAAAGGAAACAAACCACCCAAGGTGGATTTTCTTCAAACTTGTTTCCTAAAACAAGGGAACCTCCCCTGTGTGGTGGGGTTGCCTTTGTTGCGCTTCGGCAGGGATTGATCCCTGCGACACGCCATGAAATCGGCCCTTGTCAGCAAACCGAATCAAGCACGATCCGAGGTCCCGCACTCGGGTGTGTCTTTTCTTGGACAGCCAAACAACCGGTACACTCAACAAAAAGACATACCCATGTTTCTCTTGAACTCTCAAAATGGATGACACCGGTTGACGTCCTTTCGGCTTGACTCTCAGCAGCACAACAAATTGGCGGAAGGCTTGCGCAAGGCAGATCCACATGGCCCAGGAATTCCCGCTCAGCTTTTGCTTGCCAATTTTGGCAGTTTCCTTTGGACCCCCTTTGAGACAAACGCCCTCCATTCAAATGGCCTTCTTTCCCAGCTCTGTGCCCTGCTTCACGTTCTCCCGCAAGATGTCGCCTCAGGCAACCCAACTGGGTTTGCTCCTCTTTTTGTTGGGGGGGGACCCTTTTGGGATCTCCCCCATACACAGAGGTTCAAGACCAGACCAACAGGTAAAGGGGTCTTCTGAGCATGGCACATGGGGGCGTGTCTAAGACTTTCCTTGACAGGGCTTCAACCGTTTTAGACCAGGCGCATATGGGGTTGTGCTTCTATTGAGGGGTGGTTGTGACCCAAATCGAACCCAAAAGAAAAGCGTCGGCGGGTCCCCCTTCCTCTGAGACTCCTGAGGAAGAGCCAAGGGTTCGGCCAGTGGAGATGTGGACAAAGCCGTACTTGTCCTGGTGGAAACAATTTGCCTTTGACGTATCCTTGGCTGTTGTATGGGGGTTGTCGAAAGCAAAACTTCACCCATAATAATCATTCAAACATAAGATAAACCCAAAATGAAACCTTCCAAAGGCCCGTATCACAAGCTTCAAGCGTGTCGCGCGAGAGTTGCGGAAGGCTTCCTGTTGACAACTTCTCAACCGGCTGTTTCTCAAAGGAACCGGTCCAGTTCCTTCAAAAAATGGTTGGTTTCCTCTGGGTGTCCTTATACCCAAGCCAATGGGGGGCCGACTCCCGTTTTGAGGCACACTCAAGGGGTCCCCAAAGTGGAAACATGGACTGAAACCTGCAGTCACCTGGTGGTTTCATTTTGATCCATACCCACACGAATTACCAGCATTGCACTTGCCCTTGCCTTGATCTTCTCGCACTGAGTGCCTTTGCCTGGCGTTCCAAAGGTTCTCTAGACCAGGCATGCGCCTTTTCTTTATGCAAGACTAGAGCAAACAGGAGCCTGCAACATCTTGTTTTCTGGGGGGGGTTCAGTGGAACGATTTTCTTTCAGGCTGCCAGCATCCTGCGCTCTCAACTTTCCATCGCGCTGACCGCACCCGCTGCCTGCCGCAGGAGGACCGGCAATCACCTCTGTGGCCAACTTCAACCATGGGAGAAGTGAGCATGGGTCATCGGGATTTGCGCAGGGCACCGAAATGGGATTCGGCTGTCCTTTTGGCTTGAAACCGACTTGAAACGGGTACCAAACTCAAACCCTAATGCCCACAAAGACTATGGGAGTACTCCGGAAGTTGCCCGAA